TAGACATCTGTATGTTCACCTATTCTTACTTTGTATATTTTAAAAAAAGAGACAACCTCACTGCCCTCGAGTTGATGCCCCTTACTAGTGCCCTTCCAGGACAGGGTAGAGCTGCTCCTGTGAGTTGCTGAGAGCGTAACTCCTTATGGGAGTGGAAAGCCCCCTCTTCAGTAGAGCAGTTGGTGGTTTCGAACTGCTAACCTTGTGGTTAGCAGCCCAGGATGTAATCACTACACCACCAGGGCTCCTTTTATAAAAGGCAGCTATGTAATATTTGTCCTTTCCCGATTGAGTTATTTTTCATGCAGTATAATGTCTTCCAGACTTTTCCATGTTGTAAGATTTTTCGGACTTATTATTTTTCTTTATAATTGTTTAGTATTCTATTATATGTAGGTAACACAATACATTTATATATTCATCTGCTGTTGGGCCCTTAGATTGTTTCTATTATTTTGCTGTTATGAATAAGACTGCAATAAATGTACATGTCCATGTGTCTATTTGTGTCCCATATAGAGATGCCCTCAGATCTCTATAATATACACATAGGGGTGAGACTAGAACCTCCTGAGATATTTCCATATCTAATTTTTCTAAGAAAGCACCATGCTGTTAGGCATAGTGGTTGTTCCATTTTCCAATCCCATCACTGGTGTCTAAGAGTCTCAATCACTCCTCAATGCTATCAGAATCTGCTGTTTTTATTAGTGCCCGTTTTGCAGGGATGAGATGGTATCTCCTTGTAGTATTGAATTGCATCTCTCTGAAAACCGTGAGGATCATTTCACGTGCTTGTTAACCACCTGGATATCCTCTTTAGTGGATTAGCTCTTCAGGTCCTTTGCCCATTCTTTTATTCAATTGTATTGTTGTAGTTGAGTTGTTGTTTCCAATATATTTTAGAGATTAGGCACATATCAGCTATGTCATTGCCAAAGATCTTTTAACCTAGCTCTATTTGCAGCAATCCACTTCTTACTATCTTGGTTTACCTTGATCAGGTTGTGCAGATTCACCAAGATTTCAGTATGTTTTCCTTTCCTCTTTTGATTATATAAGAACTTAAATTTTAAGAGGTCTCAGCTTTCTGATTTATCTTGTTGTTCACGCATCTTTAGTTGTGCTTTATGGACTAGGCAAAGAATTAGGTGCCCTCATTATCTGTTTTCTAGGAACTTAATAATTTTCGCTCTCACCTTTAGGTCTTTGATCCATTTAAAAATCATTTTTGCTTGAGGTGTGATTCGTTTCAATTTTCTGCAAGTGGATATTCAATTTTGGCAGCACTCCTTGTTAAAGAGACTAGTTGCTCCCCGTTGAATGGTCTTAGACACGTTGTTAAACATCAGTTGTGTATAGATAGATGAGCTTACTTTGGGGTTCTCCATTCAATCCCATTGGTCTTTGTGTTTGGGATTAAACCAGTAGACTGTTTCGGATCTTCTACTTTAAATGTTATTTATTTTTTGGACATTGAGGATGTGCACAGCAAAAAAAAGATACCAATTCCAGTTTCTACATGTATAATTTAGTGACATTGATTACATTGTTCAAATTGTGAATTCATTTATATTCAGCATTATTATCAATAGGGATGAGTTTATTGCTGCCATTTTGCTGTGTGTGTATTTTTGTGATGCTGCTGAATTCCTTGTTCCAAAATATTCTCTGTGCTTAGTTCATTTTGCATGTGGGTTTTTCTGCCATTTTATTCATTGTGGGTGCATTATGGTTTATTGAATCTTTTTATTTTCCTATTGTTTTATTTTCATGAGACATTCATTTCCCTTGAGGTTACCTTGACATTCATTCATTTCTTCCCAAGATTCAGTCTTTTATCAATTTTGTTTCCTCTCCCTTTGGAAGTTCTCCACTATCCCCATTTTTTGTAAGTTTGTATCGTCTTCATTATAAATTGATATCTGTGGTTCGCTATCTCAGTCTTATAGGTCTGCTTGATTTTGGATGCTTTGTTACGTGAGTTGACTTCTGAGCGCTGCCGTGTTTTTAAATCTCAGCTCACTGCATTTCACTGGTTCGTTGGACATGTCCTAATGACACTGTCAGGCCAAAGGACCTGTTCACTTGGGATATGATTCCAGGTTGGCTTTTTTTCTCTCAGAGTTTTATGCTTGCTCATCGCCTCTTGCCTACAAGATTCCCACTGCATCTTTTGGATTCTCCTTTGTAGGTAATTTTTCATTTCTCCCAAGGTGCTCTCAAGCCACTTTGCTTGTCTTTTTATTTTAGGCCAGGGTGTGTGTGTG